TATAACTTATTATTATAATAGGCGAACTTAAAAAGAAGTTATAGCATTTAGAATTCATTTCGTCAGATAAAGAAGAAAGATTGCTTTTATTTTTTGATAATGATAATTTTGAAATAAGGGATCCTTACGATCTTGAACATGTTATCCCTGATAAGACAGTTTCAGATATTCTCAATGATCTATTTAATAAAGAAACTTTGAAGAAAGAAGAAACTTTGAAGGAAGAAGAATACACTTCAATGATCGATAATAAAAGATATTACACATCAGGAGGATATTTATGAGTTCAAGAGGTTTCTAAAAAACAATGGATCAAATATTTACGAGAAACATTGAAAGATTATAATAAAACAAGAGTTTTACCTAGCAAACTTCAAATAAAAGAAATTTTGGAAACATTTATAAAAGCTCATACAACTGATTCACTTTCACAATATGGTATAACCAATTCACCATATGAAGGATCATTAGTAAAGTGGGAGGTAAATCATGCTAAAAAAGTAATAAAAGCGTCTTTGAAGTTTGATTCGGATACAAATGTAAAGACGTCATTGAAGGTTGATTCGGACACAAATGTAAAGGCTGTTTTGAAGTCTGATTTGAACACAAATGATTGGAAACTTGTAAATAGTGTAAAATTGAAAGATGAGCTATATAAAAAAAAGACGAAATATGAGGTGGCATTAAAATAGATATTTACAATTGTTATTTATTGTATAATGAGGACTTGGCAATGATAACATCTGCAGGCTTATTTATATGATCAATTTGGCCGAAACAAAAAACGAAAAAAAAGAAGAAATTAGATTACGATACTATATAAGTCACGAGCATGAATATATGGAGAAATCAGATTTTAAAAATTTATTAGATAAGATAGAAAAGTATAAAAAAGATTCATTGCCAGCACCAGATTTTGAATTTTTTATTAATAATAGCGAAGAACAACACACAGAAGATGAGAGATACCTTTTTAAAAAATTATTAGATGATTATATTGAATATAAAATATTAACTAAATTATATGGACAAGAACTTTTAATGTGTTTCTTAAAATCTAAAAATTATTTACGTTTTGGGAGATTATGCAGTAAAATATATAAAGAACTGGAAAATGATAACATTCTGGTAAAGATTCAGTTATTAGATATTTTTACCTCATTATTTACAAAATTAACACAATTTCTCAATTGTTAAAAGAATTTTTATCATATACTTTATTTATTAATTCAATTGATGTCCCTGAGGGGATTAAATTTAACAAATTCTTTTCAGAACCACATCTTCAAAGTCATATAAAATACTTACAACCTTACTTTACTAGCAATGTTGAAGAGAATATTAAACAGTCTTTTTACTTTATTAGAGAAAAGATTGAAAATGCTCCTTACTCTCTTTCTTATAATATAAGAAAAAAAAACTAGAAAAAAAATTTTCTAAATATTTTCAATATTTAGAAAAAATATTTTATAAAGATTCTCAAACTATAATTTTAATTTTTCCATTTCCAAAGTTTAGCTCTTATGGAAGTGATGATATTTCTTGGAAAGAGCTAATTAGAGAGTTAATTTTGCCTAAACCTAGCACTTTTTCTAAGCATGAATTTTCTGAAATTTATAAATATTGGCAAGGTGAAGCACTTCTTAATTTCAAGTGGAACACCTATAAAAAATATTATTTTTTAGCTATTTTTATTTTTTATTGTATTTTTATGCTTTGCTTCTTGATAGTTGCATCAATAAAAGAGTTATCTAATGATATACAAAATATCCTATTTACTGCAGCTATTTTTCTTGGAGTTTTGCATTTAATTTTTGAAATACGGCAATTTATTTATTCTCCTCTATTGTGGATTACTGATATTTGGAATTATTTTGGTATTTAGTTTTTTAATTATTTAAATTATAAAATTGGAAATGTTCTTATCTAATTACTAATATTTAATATGTTTTTAAAACATAGGTGCAATATTATTTCCTATAATAACCTCTTTTGATTGGTTACATTTCCCTACAACACCTATTTGGGCTATTATACTTTCTATATTATTACTTGAGCTCAAATTTATAACATTTTTCGTGCTATTGAATTTGGTGGCACTTATTAGACAATGATTATTGAAGTTATACATAACACTTTATCTTTTTTTGTAATAATAGGCCTTATTATGTTTGCTTTTGAACATTCTTTATTTGTTTTATTAAGGCCAATGGCTGATACTTCAAATAATTCGGAAGAAATATGTTTACAAATTTAGATACTGCATATTTGGCCATGTATATGATGTTAACAAGTATTCTTTAATTATACTCTTTTGATAATAATTTTACTTATTTTTGATTATAAGTATTTACTATAAACTATTATAGGCGATTCGTCCTATGTGTCTAACTGGTCATTGACTAAAAATCTGACATTAACACTTTTGTTAGTCCTTTTTTCATTCTTTACAACCATCTATTTGATGAACTTGTTTATTGGACTGTTGTCTAACTTTATTAGCGAAGCAAATAAAAAGAAGTTATTTTTGCATCAAAGAGCAAAGGTACTATACTATAGTATTTTATTAAAATTTTAGCATTATAACTTTATTTTTTTTTTATTTTTTTTTATTTCTTCGGCAAGTCTAGTTATGACTTTGGCCAGCTATATTATAGATAACTCTACGCTACTAGTGTTAAGGACCTCCATAACCCCATATGGGTATCATGTGTATCTACCTGGTATCCATTGTCTGACATTTCCCCAGTTCCCTCATTGGGGCGTAGGTCTGACCGCCTGCACGATACTCCGGAGAGGCCGAAACACCTTATCTTTGGACCGCTATTTTATGAGCCAATCGGGTGGCGCCACAAGTTCATGTAATACCCTCTTAGACTTTAGACCTCACATTAGATCTCGTGACTTCGGTTATTCCAAATTGGGGTTCTAGCACGGCTTTTCTTCACAGCCACAGCTTCTCAGAATAATTATTTCTCGAATATGTCTATCCGTAGATATTCTGGGTTCCCTGTACCCCGCAGTGTTTCACTTCCATATTTGGTTTTTCATTATTTCGCCACTAGAAGGAATTAAACTGGCAACCTTACGATTTGTAACCTGGGAGCATAACTGCTATGCTATCAACCCACAGGTTATAACTTTATTTTAAAATAATAATAATTCTTATATTATTTAAATAGATTTTATCAGAAATAGAATTATTTTATATGCTACTACATCAACGTAGAAAAAATAATTGGTTTCCTGAAGTCATGTAAAGATTAATTTACTATAATTTATTTTAAGATCTTTGTTTATTAGTTTTTACAAAATTTTAACATTTATTAATATTTAAAGATTTTACAGATTTAGTCTTGATAAATTTTATGAAGTAGCCTATAAAGTGAATACTAATAAATGGGATGGTGCTATTGAAATACCATCTCTTTTTAATAAATTATTAAAAGTTATAAATTTAGCTAAAGGTGAAGATGAATTATCTCAAAAATTAGAAATTATTATTAAAAAAGAGATGGATCAAAGATTTAAAGAAATAAAAGAAGATATTTCAAAAAATTAGATAATTTATATATAATTCAATAGCTAAAAAAAAAATTAGTAAAAAACTTTTTAGAACATGTATTAAATTATTTATTATAGCACAGATACTTTATTTCTGTAGTACTAATTGCTAAATCATATAACTCATAAAATTTATGTCTTTAATTTTAATTTGAAAAAAATTGATTTTTTGAAGTAGCAAATTAAGTACTAGTTCGCGAGTGAATTACAGTAATTTTATAGTAAAATTTGATGAAAAGTTAATATAAATTTTCATATTAATATGATATTTTATAGTTGCTACAAAGTAAAGTTAATTTTTTACTAAATTAGCCTTCTTCCATTTCTAATAAAGGTTTAGCGCTTGTTTTTTGTGAATCTAATGATGATACAGGTTTTGGCACCTATTTTGGGCAAATTAACAATCAAATTTGGACATCATAACAATCATATTTGAACATAATATCAATCAATTTTAGACATTATATCAATAATTTTTGAACATTACATAAATCAAATCTGAACATATTAACAATCAGTTCGAATATCTTAGCAATCAAATTCGTACAGTGATATTTCGTGATCTAGTTGGTACCATTCAGGGACGGTGAATACTTTTGTAATAAAATTCCATTTTATTTTGGTATGATCAATAAATTTTAAGTATCCAATCAAAATCTAATTTTTGGAATAATTTCAGATTTGATTGGATATAATAATTTTATTTTACTGTATTCCATTTTATTCTTAATAGAAGTATTCACAGTCCTGGTATCATTTGACTTATCATAATAAGACGAGTCGAATGGCACTAAATCATGTGATTTGGATTACCAGATTACGAGATATTGCTGTCCAAATTTGATTGCTAAGATATTCAAATTTGATTACTAGAATGTCCAAATTTGATTGCTTTGATATCTAAATTTGGTTGCTATGTCTAAAATTGATTGTTATTGTATTCAAATTTGATTGTTATTATGTCCTAATTTGATTGTTAATTTGCCTGAAATAGGTTGTCAAAACCTGTAAGATTGTTAAAATTATTTGGTAGTTCTTAAAATATTTTAATTTTTTTTAGGGGAAAGTTAAGAATTACCAAGTTAGTTTTAACAATCTTACCATTATTAGATTCATAAAGACTAGCACTACAACTTTTATTAAAGGCGGAAGCTGCAATCTACTGTCAAGTTAAAATTTTGAAATCTCTAAATATAAGTGATGCCAAATATAATAAATCGAAGCAGTTAAATGGGATGATTATTTTGAATCTAAAGACCTTTACGACTTAACAAAAGAGATAATTAAAAGGTTAGATCATTTAGAAAGTGAATTCAAAAACGACTATGTTTTTGGTTTCTTTTATTAGTTTTTTTAAAGCATATAGAAAATTTTACAAAATATCTTAATAAGAAAATTTTTTTCCACAATGTAGAAAAGTACTTAGTTATTTATATATGTGTACTTTTACTAAGATTTGTAATTTCAAATCTGTGTTAGAATCTAATTTTATAATTGACATAGATAGATATTTTGATGTAATAGAAAATAATATAATACTACTGCAAAAGGCAAGCAAACAAGATGCAACTCATATTAATATATACAGGATCATGATCAATCAAAACTTACAAACTATATCAATTTATCAAAAGGTACTGAAACAATAGATGAAGAACTAATCGAAAAACTAGAATTAAAAATAAGAACCAACATTATACTTTGGCATTTTAAAAAAGCTATTGATACGCTCAAGCAATGGATATTTCCATATGCATGTATGCATTCAGACATATTAAGTCCACTATTAGATTACACTAGTAATGGTGTTGACAAGATTATAGAGAAAATAAAAAATCTGAAATCAAAAGTCCAAGAACATTATGTGTTTATTAACAACTGAAAGGACAAATTTTAATGCATGAAGAATTCTATAGTGAATATGAATCTTCAAACCCATTTTTTGTATGGAAAAACAAAAAATATGATAAAGAAATATCAAAATTATTAAATGGAGAAGGAATAACTATAATTGCAGATATAAGAGAAAGCAACCCTAAAAAAAGTGCAATCAAGTTTAATGAGATAGGTATCAAACTCAAATCAATAAATAAAACTTTGCAAAATAAAATTGATAATGAGCTTAAACGCTTTACTATTACTATGGTTCATTCAGGCAAATCATATTATAGATATAAGAATAAGTTTTATGTAATAAGAAATGATGAACAATGTATTGAATATAGTTTTGAAAAAACAAAAACCAGAGAGCCAGTTAGTAAAAATAATGTGTATGAAAAACTCAAAAAAGGAGAATTAATGTTTAGTCCTTATACTATGTAGATAGTAAAAATTGAATCTATTGAAGATGATGATTTTAGTAAATTAAAGACATTTGAGAAAGAAGTGAACTTAGAGTTAGTGGAACGTGAAAAGTATATAAAAACAAAAGGTAGCAATGGTCCGACTCTTGAGGTAGAAAAATACTATCAAGAGAGCAAAGTTTTCAATAAAATATTGAATTAGATTATTATTTAAAGATTTTAAAACCTTAATAATTATTGCAAAGTAATAATAATTAATGTTTTCTCGCTAAATATTTTTATATCAAGATTTAAATTTAAAATTATTCTTATATTATCTGATGAAATTTTATAATAAAATATTAGCAACATAGCATTATTAAAATTTATCTCTAATTATAAAATTGATTAAACGTTTCATTTTTATAAAACATACCTGCATTTCTACACCTATTATGCATTGGAGCATTTATTAATTTTCTCTACACTTTTCTATTGGTTGGAATTTTTTGCAATTATTTACATGTCACCATCCTTTTTAAATGTAACATCTTATTATGGTTAGTGTTAAGTTTAATGAACTAAATTATACCAAAATTTTGCAAGAATTTTTTTGTTAGTACGCGAAAGAGATTATGTGATTTTTTTCGCTACTTTTAATCATGGTTAGGTGAAATTGGATCTACTTGGTCTAGTCTTAAGTTATGTTGTATGCAAACGGAAATAGAGTTAATACCTCTATCCGGATTTATATATCCGGATATATACTATGTCATGTGATATAGCGTGACATAATGCTTTTATATCCAGATATAAATAAATCCAGATTTAAATTTATATCCGGATTTATACTATGATAAAACCAGATTAATTCAGATATAAAAAATATATCCAGATTGAGGTATTAACTCTAAACAGAAGGGGCCTAAAACAACCGATAACGCAAACAAATATTTTGTATATATTAAACGATATAATTAGGATTCTACAATATCCTTCTTTGTAGTTCTGGATTATTTCATTTGTCTGTGTGTGTTAAGCAAATAAATAAACTAAATTATGTAAAACAAGCCTTAAACAAAATTTTTATATTTATTTAAGATATGCTAAGTTTTAATATCGAGCATAACACCTAGTTTGCTTATTGTTTATAATTTATTCTTAAATCAATAAGTCTTAGGTCCTAGCTAGTAAAGTGTTTAAGTCGGCTATGTTATAATAGCCATCAATAGAAATTTAACTAAGCCAATGTAAATATTGCATGCTAAATAATATCCTAAGCCATACTTTTGGAGGTTTAAATCACATACAAAGTAAGAAACTTTTTAAAAAATAACTGAATTTTTACAAGCATAATATCCAAAGATGAAGAAACTATTGACATCGAACCTGAATCAACTAAACCACATAATAGCAAGAAAATAGCAAAGCTTATGCTATCACTAGATAGCAAGTACATAGCAATGTGGAGTAGAGAGGATAGATCAATTTGCGGATGGGTACTCGATGATAGTCAAACCGCAAAGCAATACATAGAGAAATCATTAGAAAAATTGGAAACCAAATCAAATACTCCGATTCAATAAATGTTGAAAAATTTTGTAAGGAGGTTTGTCCAGATTTAAGTGCAGTTTCAAGTTATATGCAGTTTCAAATAATAAACTTGTCACAATATCGGATACAATTGCTACTACAATAAAATCAAAATACGTACAGAGCAAAAAAATTGGTTAGTAACAAATAAAATAATCACTAATATTTGCAATACTTAATAGTAATTTCCAAAATATTTTTTTCTTTTTAGAGATCATTGATCTGTAATTAAGAAGAAAATAGAATTAAGTTTATATCAATACAGAAATTGGTCAATAGAAGAATGTAAATTTTATACTAGTAAAGACAATGATGAATACTTCTTAATAGTGGCGCACGATTATGAAAGTCAATATATTTTTAAGTTTTCATGCAACAAGTCGCAAAGCTGGATGATAAATAAATCAATTTCTTGTAGTGCAGTTAAAGATATTTTAAAAATGTCATATAGACGGAGAAAAGTAAAAAATGTCATATAGATGGAGAAAAGATCATGCTTATTGATAATAGTTGATCATTAACCCAATAGAATTTAAACACATTATTATTCAAAAGACAATATCAATTAAGATAAGCAACTCACCATGCGCATGAAAGCTTCATTTTTAATACGAATTCTACATTACTTGCAGTATATCAGCAATGTTATCTAGAAGGATTTGTTTATGTTTATTTAACTGAAAATTTGCTGCTTTTATCACATTGTAAGTTCTTTAATTCGTGTATACACGTTGATTTCTATAATTCTATAGCTTATAATTATGATTAATAGGCGAACTTAAAAAGAAGTTACAACATTTAGAATTTATTTCATCAGATAAAGAAGAAAGATTGCTTTTATTTTTTGATAATGATAATTTTGAA